ACATAAAAACACCCCACAAAATAAAACAAAACACAGCTTTCCTCAACATAGAACTTGCTTCTGAGACTGAAACTTCCAAACATAAATTATCACAAATAAAATCAGTTTAGAAAATGGTGAGTACGTGTTTTGTAGCAGTAGCTATAGCAAGCTCTAGGTTTTCAGGAAACCATGCAACATTTCCCAGCAATAAAAAACTTTTATAACATTTTTCAAGAAAATATATATTTCTACTTTTTCTGGATTTCACACTGATTACCTGCTTTCCCTGTATAAACAGAGGCAATAGAATTTAAAGCTATCCTACCCCGAAACTTAAGTCATAGCAGGATCTACTTGCCTACAGGACCAGCAATATGTGCCTGTGTAGCTCTGTAACTGCAGCACCCTCTGCTGCTTTTTTCGTTCCAAAACATGTAATTATACACTCAACCAAGTGGCAAATCAAATTAACACGTACTGATCATGTCCTTTCTTGAAATATTAACTAATGCTATATGCAGTTTACAAGAGAATTATTTGCTATAGCATGTATGCAATTTTGTACTACTTGACTACCCTGGAATATCTTGTTTCTGTGTTAACATCAGGGAGATACTGGACGAAAATCCTAAAACATGATGTATTTCACTGCTTAAAATTCTCCTTTGCAGACAATGTAGCTTGCTTAGACTGGTGGCAAATTGTAAAGAGGTATACTTTTTGGTCCTTGATATTTTCACTTAATTTAAATTTATATATAATTTGAAATTATTACTGCAGGGATATAATTATACAAGCATTTCAGTCATAACTACTTAAGGCCAGGTTGGATGAGGCTTTGTGCAAGCTGGTCTACTGCAAGATGTCCCTGCTCATAGCAGGGAGGTTGGAAACTCACAATCTTTAAGGTCCTTTCCAACCTTAACCATTCAATGATTCTATGAAAGGCAGGGGAAGGTGATACTCTCAAAAGCTCATTCTTGCAGAATTTTCCTTGCTTTTCAGACAGACTGTTGCAGAAGAGATTTTTTCTTCTGCAAGGATGAGCATGGCATGCAGCTCCTGGAGCCAGCTGACGTCATCCCACAGTGCTACCACAGAACCTTCAGCCTGGGATCCATCAGTTCTATTAAAGTACTGTCTTGGGACTAGAGATGGTCTCAGGATGCACCATCTTTTTAACCAATGGCATACTGTCATCTAAAACAACCATACTGATTCTTCCCTTTACATCAGTCCTCTTTTCCCTGCCTCCACTCTATGCACAGAATTAAAGCTGAATGAAGTGCATTTAGAATTGCATCCTGCCTGTGTGGAGAATTCTTCTAGAGTTTTCACGTGGAAACTCTGTTCCCGCAAAGGATGAGCAGGGGAGAAAAAAAATCACATTTTGGGGGGGAAGTGAAAACCAATTTCATTTGTAGTGTGAATTTTCATTCGCTGTAGCAATCCTACAATTGAAATGCATCTTCAGAAATCTTTCTGAAGAAGACAGAATGAAATTGTAGGTACCAAGTTTGAACAAGACGTCGTGCAGAAGAAATTTCCAGAGTTAACACTTAGGATCCTGCAATACACCACGTACAGCTACTGCAGCTGGCTCCACTTTTGTCCTGAAGTCTTACTTCAGGCAGCACTTCTGGAAGCTGTCACAAGTATTCCCCAAAAGCTGCTTATTGATATTTTATATAATGCTGCCAGCTAGTGGCACATCTTGTACTGAGTTGATACCTAATGGGAGTGTAGAGAAAGTGGTATTAACTATTAACCAACCTTTGCTCTACCACTCTTCTTTTGATGGTGTCTGGTGATGTGGCTTTTAAAGACGTCAGCAGAAAAATCAAAGATTGAAATAAAAAGGCCATAGAAACCCTCCTGGAAAAAGCCTGTTTCAACACAAGGTATTTAGAAACATTACCAGAAGAAACAAAAAAACTACCCCTAAAATAAAACAAACCATGTAATTCAAAACAAATTAATGTGTTTTTAAAGGATATAATATGCAATGTTTCAGTTTTTACAAAATCTAATCTATTTAATACACAATTATTTAATAATCTAGTAATCTTTAGCAAAACATTAATCTGCCTGATAAATGCTCAGTATGGCAGCCAAAACAAACACAGAATACTAAAATATTTAACTGTTTTCTGATAACTCAGTCCAAATTGTTTACATAAAGTATAATGTCCAGTAAATGAATTCTGACATTGCAGTGTGTCCTAAAAGAGTGTTAAGGTCTATAATTATTCAATTAGTCCTTTCACAGAGTATGTTACTATAGATGGGACTGAGAATATGATCAATACGGGCTAGTTCCATGAGTACTAGGTATTAGAATAATTAATCTAATATTATTAAAGTCCATTTTAGAAATATTTGTTGGTTTGGGTTTGGTTTTTTTTGAAGGTAGACTATAATTTGGTAATATAAAGTTCTTAAAGAACAGCACAGCAATTGTAAAATAGTCAACCAAATTTCAGAAATACTACATTTGTAGTTATTCTTGGGGGTTAAAGGAGGCAGAATTACCACCTACCATTTCCACCGTGGCTTGACACAAAGCGAACGAAGAAATACACAAAAAAAGTCAAAGAAAGAGCCAACTGAAATAATGGGAGTGCACACAAATTCAGTCAGGTATGATCCAAAACAAGCAGCTCAGTAAACGCATGGTTGGGGGAACTTTGCTATGGTGGTGTGATAGACCCATAGTTACCCCAGCTTGGGCACTGGGGACGCTGACTCCACACAGGTGATAGCAAAAGAATATGATTGTCATACTCCAAGACAGTACCACATGCTGCCAGAATATAAATATTTTACAGTGACCCTAAAAGAGTGTAATCTAGAGTACTTAGTAAAATGGGCATAAATTAGTAATATGTGCATCAATACAGAGAGACACTTACAGACATTTAAAAATGGGGAAGCAGTGAATCTGGAAATTACATAGCAAACACTTTATACCATAGCACAGCATGAACCTTCAAAGCAATACTGCATCCAAAAGGACAAATTTGAATTTTTGTATATACAGAGAAACTGTACGAGCTACAAATGTCGTATTACTTTTGTGTTTGCACTGGTGTTGTGCCTATAAAGTCTTGTTCTACCATCTGCAATCAATAAGAAAGTAGCTGAAATACTAGGAAAAGTTAACAGAAGAGCCAAGAGCACCTCTGACAGGAGGAAAGCATATGAAAACTTTAGCAAAGTCATTTATTTGTGTTAACATGGAACTGTGTGTAGATTGATCACCATCTGGAGTACTCACAGAAAGAACATGGATTAAGAAATCATGTTGTCATGCTTAACAGAGTCAGGTACATGATCTTGATCCAGTACATGAAGGTGAGTACTTAAGCATTTTTAGACATTAAAAAAGGGGGTTTTCTGCTGTTCAAAAGAAATACCTGAGTTGTTATATAATGAACTAATATAACAGTATCTTTCCCAAATCCAAAACCTGTTTGGATTTTTTCCAATTTTTTTCCTTTACCGAGAACAGTTTAATTAGAATAAAGTAACTTGTTTCAGAAGTCCCTCTAGCTTCTTATTCTGAGAATCTACAACATCAAATCTCACAGCATCACACAATCTCTCTAAATGGCTCCCACAATTTAAGCAAAGCATTTTCTTCCAGATCCTAAATGCCTTAAATCTAAATGTGTTTATCATGCAGTTCATGATGTCTACATCTGTAGCTGAAATCAACCATTATTACAAATGTGAATTTTCTTTCTCATAATATTATTAATTTAGATATTAATATATCTCTCAGATATATTTTTCATTCAGAAATCTGAGAACAAATTTCGCTTTGGCTACAGTTACAGAATACATCCTGAAGTATTTTCTGGCAGGGCCACACAACTATCTTCAATATTGAGAACTCAATAAAAGGTAGCAAATACCAAAAAAGGAGAGGACAAAATTTATTATTATTTTTTCCTTTTGAAATAAAAAGTTTATTAAATAAATTTACCTTTTTGCCAATGAAAAGTCAATGTTTATTGAAACACAGCTTTGGAATACTAAGACTGGAGTTTTAAGATGAAATATATATATATCAGAACAGTTTCTATATTATTGCTTTGATAAGTAGAAAGGGATATGTGCACATTTCTTGAATATTTGGCAAGATTACAGAGATGCCCCCAACTTTATTCTATCAGTGTGCTTGTTTGAAAACATAGAAAGAACCATATCTGTGTATCTCCAGATGTTAATTATATCATAGTAATTACTCATTACATCGAAAATATTTAAATGTTTTTGCTCAGCTTCTTTTCCATTATGTGCCACAGTTTAATAATTGAAGTCCATTAACAGCATAGATAATTTCATTAATAAGTATACTGAAGCAGAGCCATACTGGGTCAGACATTGAAGGTCCAGTTATGGCTTATCTTGTCTCAGGTTAATGCAGCCAGTAACTGATGCTTAGACAAGAGTGAAAGATCAGGACAAACTGCCCCATTAATTCTCTTAACATCCACCACTTCCTAAGCTATAAGCAATGTCTTTACAGTTAATAGCCTCAGTGAATTTTTCCTTGCACAATTTTTTCCCCTTTGCTTTTTGAATTCATGTAACTGTGGGCTTCCTTTTGTTTTTCTCCTGTTTGAGTTTGCCCTTTCCAAGATAAAACTACCATTATTTGCTTCCCACGTTCTTGCATTGTTGCTCCTTAGCCACTGGCCACCACAAATCAATGGGCTACACTAATTCTTTGTCCAACCCAGTTCAGCTGCTCTAATGCTCCTGCTGCAGTCACAGAACCAAAAATAACCTGCACTGGGGTGACTTAGAAATGTACCCACACAAACACCTGTGCTACATGAAACGGTGTAACACACAAAACACCGTGGTAGGCAGATCTGTATCTCTGACCACAGTAATTGCATTTCTAAGCTAAATGAAATTATTATTGAGGCCTCATACAGAAATACTTTGTATGAATACAATTAGACTTCTATCAACATAGGACTGTATTTAAATAAGCAATGACTTACAGACATTCCCCGTGTTGTCAAAACTTGTAAGAACATCTTCAACATTTAAGAGTCCATTGTGAAATCTGGAAGAAAACATAAACAGTGACTTTACCAACATATAAACAAACAAAAAACCAACCATCTTGCCTCTTCAGAAAAGAGGTTCACTGCACTCATTCGATTCTCACAAACCCCTTTCACAGACAAGTGGCAAACAGGTACTACTGTAGCCACCAGGGGGAAAACAAGGGGACAATCACAAGTCTTCAAAGTTCCATCACTAAAATCCATGAACCAGGAACATGCTTCTCGAAATCTAATACTTTATCAAAATGAAAACATTTCCAAAGAGCATAATTTTTTGTTTAGTTGTGGAACTCACATACAGGAAATGAAGAATTTTGGTAAAGGTTTCTCCAAAGAGGAAAAAGAATAGACTATTTTTTGAACAGCAGCTGTACACACATTCCTATTTTCTCCCACAAAACCAAGAACACTTAATTTAATTATTGTGAGCAATGAAACTGATTAATGTGCTCAGTGAACTGCACTTTCTTTGGCTTTACATTTGCATTACCCAAGTGAAATAAACATTCAAAACTGAGGGTAACACATTAATTAACTTAATTTCACATAGCAACTGCAAATTTTAGAGCACAGTGAGCAAAATACCGACAGCAGCAGAAAGAACATGCACCAAAGTTCAATTAAAAATTGCCTAAAAGGCTTCCTCTAAATGTTACAGACGTCAGGCTAGCTGGATTCACACACACACACACACATGCAAAAAGGCAACTATTTAACTATTTTATATTTGGGTTAATCTAGGCCCCAAATGAAGAAAATAAAAAAATCTTACCCTTTACAACAATCAGACCACTATTAAAAAAAACTAAATAGAACTCAGCACAGCAGTAATATAAAAAAATACAGTATTTTAATAATTTTTCAAATATAGCTTCTAAGGCTGCTTAGGAACATGCTTATTTGAAACACTGAAAAAATGGAAGAACAATTCTAGCACTTACAAAATTAATGCTCATTCTCTCAACTTTTAATTCCTGAAGGACAATTGTTGTAATAATGAGAGAAAAAAAAAATAAAAATCAACCTTTTTGCAAAGATGAAACTATATCTTTTATAAAGAAAGCTATCTAACTTCTCATAAGCATAAGCAGTAAATTAAGAAACATTAACATGTTAAATGTTGAGAAGTGTGAAACAGGAACTAGACTAATTTTTTAAAAAAGGAAAATCAAATGGAAACCAAATTAACAGGAACTAAAATGAGGTCATAAATAGAGGCAACAAAAAATATTAAAGATATTGTGAAGTATTTGACTGGACTTTAGAGTTCTTCTCGCAGCTACATAAAAAAAAAAATAATCAAAAATACATTCCCCAACTGCAGTGGAAGCCTACAAGAATTTTGACAGATCATTGGGACTAAAAGGGAACTTTTTTTTTTTTCAACTTTGTTTTCAATCAGATTGAGTAACTGATGCAACAGAGTTAATTCAAGTTAAATCAGCCAGAATCAGTAGCTCTGCCAACCACAGAGCTGCTCTTTAAACTGTCCCTTGCTGACTCCTTAGCACCCTACAAACTCCATTACTGTGCATCTGTCTGACACTACTGGAGTCTCTCAGACAGCTGTGAATGTCTCATCCTCTAAATGAATGTAAGATGAGGGGAGCAGGGAGGGAAATGCTGAGACAGTAAAGAAATATTTTAATCTTTGTTGACATGTACATTAGTCCTGGGATAAAATGTTTCTGGGTTTTTTCCTCCCCTCAATTTCTTTATGTATATAATTCATTTATAAAGGAGATTTATAATGGAAATCTCCACATGAAGCAAAAACAGGTGAGGATGAACAATTGAGCAATCTAACTACTTACCTGTAGCTCAAGAATGCTATGAAAAAAGAAAAAAAGAAGTGGAGTGTGCTGGTCTAGAGAAGAATACAATTTATACTTCAGGGTCAAAAGGTAGACAAAGGCAAAAAAGATAAATGACACAGCCATAGCATAAGGACACTGGCCTTAAAATTATCGCTAAACCAAATTTCAAGCTGTTGCCAAAATAATGGTTTAGAACTGGAGATGAGAAGTGGAGAGTTCCAAGTACTTCAGCTTGAAGAATAAGCTGAGATTCCACAACAGATGCATGCCACACACTCACTCTTTTTAAGATTGTTCTGAATCTGCATTATTGTTTTTGATACTCTCAGTTTTCGTTGTAGATTAGTTCTTCCTCAGATTATAAAACATTTTTCCCATAACTAAAAACAACACATACAAATTTCCAACATATTCCTACATTTATTATTCAGTGGCCAAAAGCTTGTGGTGTCAAGTACAAACACAGCACACCCCAAGTTTCACTGTCTTGGGCAGGGGAGGCATTGTGCACAGGCACCCTTTTCTGGCTGCCTGCAACTTTCACAGCCTCTTACTCTTACTCTGTCTCTTTCTTGCTTTCACAAACACTGCTCAGGGAAAGCACATAAGTGAGCCATAATTTCATGATAAGAAGCATCCAGATTTGCTATGAAGGACTTCCCCTTCTCCTCACCAGATGCCCACTCCACACTCATCGTGAAACACAACAGGGTTTGGGTTTAACAGGTGCAGAATATTCTAATAATTTAATTCATATTTTTATCTGAAGGTTCACTCATATTCAGAATAAAAGTATGACATTTTGTAAAGATCACTTAACACTACAAAGATTTAACCCCTTCTATAAGCTGCTGACATTGTTCTTTTCAGTTTTGCCTTTTAGTATTTGAAACATCAAATGACTGATCAGTAGAAAATATTTTACCACAGAAATAACTTATTTCTTCCATAATTGCTTAAAATGAGTCTACAATTTTAAAGTTGGTCTATATTCTGAAGTAGGAAATTTGAAGATACTGATTGCTCCTTTTTTAACTCTAATAAAAGAATAATTTTCTGATCTAAAAGACAGACACCGTCTCCACAGTGAGACACTGCATCTTTATGATTTATAATCACTTCATTACTAAAACTATTAATACAAAATTTAAATTTAAAAGCACATTCCCAAGAATAGAAAGATTCAGAAATGCAATATTAAATAAAGATTTTAAAATTGATCTACATACTTATTATGTATCTTCCTATCATCAAGAACACGTGTATTTAGCACGTGCATCATTTTGAAAGCACAGTGAAATACCCCCAAAGTTAAGAAGAACTTGAACAAAGCTAACAAATAAACAGGAAAGTTTTTATTAATAAAAACATATTTTTAATGGAGAAAAGATCCAGAAAGCCAGACAATATGTGTAATGAAATATACCATTTTCCACTTCAAGTTTGCAAAAATTTCACTAAAAATGAAGTTCAGATCTTTCACCTGCCGACTAGATAGCATTAATTTATTGTATCCAAATCTGAATGTGAAAAATGTAGCAAGACTCCAGCTTGGACAGAACATGGCTATATTCTCCATGTTAGACAGCCATAAACTTTCAGCCTTATTCCCAGGACTGACTGCCTGTCAATTCAGGGACTTATTTTATAATGAACATTAATGGCAAACACCATAAGAGAGTTATTTCTTGTATGTAGCCACCCAATTCATATCATCAAGACAAGGATGTAGTGTGTAGAAGCATCAAATACAGTATAAATCCAAATGAGACTAGACTAATTAAATGAGATTCTGGATTATAACACAAGAAATTTAATTTTGACACACCTTTAACTTTTAACAAAAATCACACTCATCAGACACTCCTTTTCATACCCCAGAGGTATCATGAAGCACCTTAGTACCTATACAAACTTCAAGAGACCACCTGCCACTATGTATCGTTAATCTAGATTTCATTATGCACAGTACAGATCACTGTTTATTTAACCAGAAGCATCATGGGGATTTTTCAAATGAGTCAATGCCCTTCTCACTTCCAGGATCTAGCCAAAATGGCACATAAATCCAACTTAATTTTTTTAAGCAAAATTGCCTTATATTGGTGCTTCTGGCTTCCTGCTTTGGCAGCTTTGTTATTAAGAGTGGTTCTAAATATAAAGTAGGGACAGAAAAACATGGCATAAGCTCTTCTTTCCCAAAATGTGCATCCAACCTGAACTTGGTTAGAAAAATAGCAACTTAATATTAAGTTCAGAAAAGCATGCATATGCCAGCTAGTGGATACCAAAGCTTGTATTTGCCTAATAAACTGGTCCCCACATCCCTCTAGAGCAGTAATTCCAGCTAGGTCATAGCATATCCGAATATACAATTTGATCAGTTTTGATAGCCTTTGAACTGATACAGCTTGACCTTTATACTCTTTGCCAAAAGCCATGAACAACCTTATGAACTTTCTTAACTATTTAGTCTTGTCAAGATATTAGCTGACAACCCTTTTAACATCCCACATATGCAATGAGCTTTCTGAAGATGTTAATGCATAAGGAAAACATATGTAGATGAAAATTCAAAAGCACTTTCATCAAGATTTTGGAGGGGCCATAGCAACATTTTTTTTCCTGACAAAAAGAGATAAAAAAGACTTTCCTACTCAAGCACACTGTTCCAGGATTACCTGACTGACACTATTACTAATAATGTGCTAATATTATACTCTTGTTGTATTTTAAAAATTGTTTCTCCTGATGAAAACTAATGTTTTACCAATGGGAAGAGAAAAACTAAGGGAAGACTGTCAGACATACAGAGGATCGTGAAGTTTCCAAGACATGATAAGCTCTCAGAGATCCAGAAATGCTTACTCCAAGATTGCTTCTCTTCTAGACACACAAGTTTCAGCGAGAACTGTCCTGCTGTTTAAGTTAAACTGTAATGTTTACCACCTTAAACTACTGCTTCTGCAAAAACAGGGAAGAAACTTTCTTTAATACAGACTTAAGGTAAAGCGGATTTTGTTGCAGGTATTTATCCTTTGTCCCGGGCAAAATATACAGCAAGTATTTTCTCCTCCACTATCCAGCAGCATTCTGAAATAATAAGCATATCCTATCTATTGTTGTCACTTCAATATCTAAAGAAAACACTTTAATAGAGAAGTGTAAGTTCTCATCATTATTCCCAAAATAATTATCAGTAATTACCTTTTTTATGTATCACTGAGTATCTTCTAGAAAAGAACAAAATACAGGGGGAAAAAAAATATCCCCATTAGGAAACAATATCTCTGTTCTCCCTAATATACAATTTTTGAAGGCCAATGTGAGCCCAGTATTCTCCAGCACAGAAACTGTACATTTCCACTGGCTAAACTCAAAGCACCATAAAAGGTAAAAACAAAATCCCCAAACTTAGAATACATCATCACCAATAATAAAATCATGCATGAATAAACATGCTTATTTGTAGTCTACAGTTTGACCTGTGTCCTATTATTAATAAAGCTACTATTAGCCAAATGAAAAATATTAAATAAAATTATGACATGGGAAGTGATGGAAACAGAAGTGCATAAATATCAAATGTCAGGGTAAGCCCCCTTGGCTTTTGTACTGCTGGCACAGGTGAACCCTAGCTCACCTTCTACTTTAAAACTCCCATAACTAGTAAATCAATTGACTTTGAGTGTTGGAAATCATCGTAGTGGACTCAGGAGACTGAATGAAGAATGACTGCAGTATTAAGAACTGCAGCCTCTCTCAACCTAAATTCTATGTAAATGCCTTGCTTTTCTTATTACCAGTGTGCTTCTGAGGACCTAAAACTAGGGAAGAGAGACACTGCACAAAGAGATGAGGTAGGCCGTCAGCATCTGAATAAATCTGTAACATTCCCTAACACTTCACTGGAAAAGTCCAAGTGCAGAAAAAACACTGTACCCACTTCTGTTACAAATAGGCAGTATTTTCAAATGGAAAAGTTTTCTTTTGATGCCTTCTAGTGTCAATAAGTAGAAGCTTGGAAAATGGAAGATTAAGGCTTTTTAAAACTACACAATTTTTTACATGACTTTTTACCCAGCTGCAAATTTAAGGCAACCTGCATGTAGTGTTGCGGAGTTCATGATTTTGGTTTGATTTGGTTTGGTTAGATTTTTCTTATTACTTGGTTTTATAACCTTGCAAAAATGTCATTAATGATGGTCACTTGTTTGTATTACATCTTAGTTTCTGAGATTGACTTTATTTTAAAGGTCCCAGTTAAATAAAAACACACTTTATGATTTTGATGACTCAAGCTGTCCAGAATAAACTTTACTATGCACAAAATGCACACTCCTACATCCTCAGCAGGGCTAACTAGGGGCTGTAAAACAAGTATTAATTGAGGGATGCTGAAGTTACTGTTGCAGTGATACCTGTTGAGGCAAAATGAAGTTACAGATATGTTCAAATTGAACATGGAAAATGAAATGAAAAGCAAAAGAGAATGAAAAAAAAGAAACCAAAACCCCACATAGTAGTGAGTGGGAGCTAGAAACTTTTCTGGTTTGCTGAGGTCAACTGAGTTTTCATTAACTCTCCTTCAGAGGGTTTTTTGGGAGGTTTCTGGGTTTTGGTTTTGTATGCCTTTTTTTTTTGTTTTTAATGCACATACCTTAATTTGTTTTACCTGCTTTAATATAAAACAGATTTCATTAGCCATAAACCATTTGTGTAGGAAGAAGAAACTTTTTATTCTTTTGTTCTGCAAATTGGCTTCCAGATTATCATTGAGTTTTAAGAAGAAAACTGAATAAAATACAGATCACTACCAAAAAGCTTTTCAAACTTTATGAATAACATGTCATTAATTTTTTTATTAAGATTACCAGTAAATGTGTTCATCAGTATTTTTTACATCCTTTTTATATTTGAAGAATGTCAAAACAGAAAGCTATTAGAAGCATAAAAGAAATGCTCCTTTCTGCATTCTCTTATAGGTACAATCATCAGTATTTTCAGTCAAGCTCTGACACTTCAGTGAAATGTACCAGAAAAGATCAGATAAAACTGCCTACTGTAACAAACAACTAAAAATAACATCTAACAGTTTATTTGTAAACTATGCCCTAGTTACACAAAACTCTGGAAGAATGACTAATGAGTTTTATATTTTAGGCCTGTACAAGACCATAGGAAGTACTTAAAACCCAAAGGATAGTTACCTTAAGGACACACTATACTCAGGATAAAAGATGCATTTATAGTGAACCCAGGTTCCAGTTTCATCTTCTGCATTCTGGTCTTCTACTGAAAAGAGATTGAATGATGCAAACCTTCTTACAGACACTTGTTGGAGATGCACATCTTTCAAGTGCTTTTTCTTCAGAACCTTTGAAATGAAGAACAAATTAAAGATTAAGAAAAAGGTAAAAACAAAATCCCCAAACTTAGAATACTATATAATCATCACCAATAATAAAATCATGCATGAATAAACATGCTTATTTGTAGTCTACAGTTTGACCTGTGTCCTATTATTAATAAAGCTACTATTAGCCAAATGAAAAATATTAAATAAAATTATGACATGGGAAGTGATGGAAACAGAAGTGCATAAATATCAAATGTCAGGGTAAGCCCCCTTGGCTTTTGTACTGCTGGCACAGGTGAACCCTAGCTCACCTTCTACTTTAAAACTCCCATAACTAGTAAATCAATTGACTTTGAGTGTTGGAAATCATCGTAGTGGACTCAGGAGACTGAATGAAGAATGACTGCAGTATTAAGAACTGCAGCCTCTCTCAACCTAAATTCTATGTAAATGCCTTGCTTTTCTTATTACCAGTGTGCTTCTGAGGACCTAAAACTAGGGAAGAGAGACACTGCACAAAGAGATGAGGTAGGCCGTCAGCATCTGAATAAATCTGTAACATTCCCTAACACTTCACTGGAAAAGTCCAAGTGCAGAAAAAACACTGTACCCACTTCTGTTACAAATAGGCAGTATTTTCAAATGGAAAAGTTTTCTTTTGATGCCTTCTAGTGTCAATAAGTAGAAGCTTGGAAAATGGAAGATTAAGGCTTTTTAAAACTACACAATTTTTTACATGACTTTTTACCCAGCTGCAAATTTAAGGCAACCTGCATGTAGTGTTGCGGAGTTCATGATTTTGGTTTGATTTGGTTTGGTTAGATTTTTCTTATTACTTGGTTTTATAACCTTGCAAAAATGTCATTAATGATGGTCACTTGTTTGTATTACATCTTAGTTTCTGAGATTGACTTTATTTTAAAGGTCCCAGTTAAATAAAAACACACTTTATGATTTTGATGACTCAAGCTGTCCAGAATAAACTTTACTATGCACAAAATGCACACTCCTACATCCTCAGCAGGGCTAACTAGGGGCTGTAAAACAAGTATTAATTGAGGGATGCTGAAGTTACTGTTGCAGTGATACCTGTTGAGGCAAAATGAAGTTACAGATATGTTCAAATTGAACATGGAAAATGAAATGAAAAGCAAAAGAGAATGAAAAAAAAGAAACCAAAACCCCACATAGTAGTGAGTGGGAGCTAGAAACTTTTCTGGTTTGCTGAGGTCAACTGAGTTTTCATTAACTCTCCTTCAGAGGGTTTTTTGGGAGGTTTCTGGGTTTTGGTTTTGTATGCCTTTTTTTTTTGTTTTTAATGCACATACCTTAATTTGTTTTACCTGCTTTAATATAAAACAGATTTCATTAGCCATAAACCATTTGTGTAGGAAGAAGAAACTTTTTATTCTTTTGTTCTGCAAATTGGCTTCCAGATTATCATTGAGTTTTAAGAAGAAAACTGAATAAAATACAGATCACTACCAAAAAGCTTTTCAAACTTTATGAATAACATGTCATTAATTTTTTTATTAAGATTACCAGTAAATGTGTTCATCAGTATTTTTTACATCCTTTTTATATTTGAAGAATGTCAAAACAGAAAGCTATTAGAAGCATAAAAGAAATGCTCCTTTCTGCATTCTCTTATAGGTACAATCATCAGTATTTTCAGTCAAGCTCTGACACTTCAGTGAAATGTACCAGAAAAGATCAGATAAAACTGCCTACTGTAACAAACAACTAAAAATAACATCTAACAGTTTATTTGTAAACTATGCCCTAGTTACACAAAACTCTGGAAGAATGACTAATGAGTTTTATATTTTAGGCCTGTACAAGACCATAGGAAGTACTTAAAACCCAAAGGATAGTTACCTTAAGGACACACTATACTCAGGATAAAAGATGCATTTATAGTGAACCCAGGTTCCAGTTTCATCTTCTGCATTCTGGTCTTCTACTGAAAAGAGATTGAATGATGCAAACCTTCTTACAGACACTTGTTGGAGATGCACATCTTTCAAGTGCTTTTTCTTCAGAACCTTTGAAATGAAGAACAAATTAAAGATTAAGAAAAAAACTTGAAGAACAAACACAGGCTTATTTAACTGAAGAGGCAAGTCTGGAATTGACCATAATAGCTATGCTATCAGCCAATAGCTATGAATAGCTAGTCCAAGTATGTTAAGCCTGAGAAAAACAACAGTGGTATTAATGGTAGGGGTCAAGAATGGGTTATGAAATTATTATGTCTCACTAACTGTAAAACAAATGTATTGTGTTTAGAAGTACACCAAGTTGCTTTTTAAATTCCTGCTCCAGCAGACCCATGGACAGAATTCAAGAGGCAAACTGGGTTCTCCTCTCTTCTCCCATCACCACCGCAATGAAACTTTCAGAAACCAAGCAGTGCCCTCTCTGCGCAATTTCTATGCCACTCACTGTCCTTATGGTTGAAAAAGAGAAACAAAAAGCAAGGTTAAATTCTGTAGAATTTAAATTACTAAACTCAAAACACAATCCCCAGATGCCTGAGTGATATGTTTGGCAGGTAGACTACTTCCTGGCCTTCTGCACACTTGTAGAGTTGCTGCCAAACTTGCTTGAGTTGAGAAACTTGCTACCTGTCCCACGCCCAAGGTTTTCAGATGCCACCACTGCATATTATTATTTGGACGTATCACCACTGGGTATGTTAGTCAGTCTTTAATAATAAAAAATACACTGACAGCACCAAGTTCAGTGCTAAGAGACTGGAGAATTCAAAGCAGTGGCTGAGACAGAACGTGGCCATTCACATTTTTTAGATTAATTAAACACTTGTTCAGGAAAGTGAAAACGTGGGCTCGCTGTCCTGCACAGTCCACTGCACTCAGCTACCTTTGGGGAGTGAGGTATCAGCTCCTCCATATGGAAAACTCGGCAGCCAGCCCGTTTGGGCTGTATCATTGCACAGAAGACAACTAGCATTTCCCTGCCAGATAAAAAGGTTTATTCTTTAGGTCAGTGACGCAGAAGGAGACATGATCCAGGTTTAACTTCTTTCTCCTAACATTGGATGGAATACATAAATAATAACCACTGCATTTTTTAAATGAAGATGCATAAGCGGTCCACAGTGATGAGAAAAAAACCCCACAACAAACAGAAAATAAACTCATCACTATAAATAGAGCTACAATTGAGTAGGAGAGTGACACAATTTAGGTTTTTTGCCAACCAGAGCTAAATCTGAAGTCAAATGAGAAGTATCTGTGCAGATTCATGAAACCTGAAATGGAAGCTTTGCATATGGGATCCATACAACAAAACAATGGGTCAGTGATTCTTCTTGCTGTGCATAACATTTGACTTTAACTGGAAATGCACTCGCATCCAATAGCCTTACAATTTGGTGCAATGACCTATTATTATCTCGCAGGATCTTGGAAATACTACATACGTAAGCAGAGCAATTGCATTTGATGCGCTGTTAGTTTCTAACAGCAGGTCTGATGCATTGGGTTTACTGCTTTGGGATCTATTGTCATGGGCAGGTCTCAGCATATGAAAGGCACAGGCACTTTCATCAAAATAATAAAAATGGATGTGTGCTGTCCACACTATTTCTTCTACTTCTGTAACACATGGGAAGAATACACATGTAGAGGATATAGTAAAAATATCAAAACAGGAGAACCAAATTAAAAGACTAGCAGAATTAAGGCCTTCACATAATAGCAGCATGCCTGGAAACAAAACAGACCACTTTGAGAAGTAAAATGCACTCTCTGGGTTAGGAGCAAATTTCATGAGTGTTTGAGTACTCAGAAGACCATTTCTCCCACAGCTTCAAAGTAAAAGCAAGAGGTCTAAGATCTGAAAATCATAATAGCAGGTAAAATATTTTTTAAACTGATATATAACTGAGAAAACGGAGCACAAAGGAAGACTATGTTATATCCTTTATATCTTACTGTATTTTCACAGAAGGATTAAAGTATTTTTTCCTCATCAGTTCCTAAAAGCATTACAATTGAGTTACAAACCATAAAGATATGCTGCTGCTATAGCATAAACCACTCACAAAAGCCACAAGGTGAAAAACACATCTTAACTCTTAATAATGTTTTGGTGAAGATAAAAGATAGTCTGCTGTCTTTCCATGATGCCCTCCCAATGAAGGTGAAGCTCCCCAATTTCCTGCACATTAACAATATAAATGAACACATCCCAGGGACCTATGAAACCAGTAGTTAGTATCAAAGCAAGCTAAAGGCTTCTCAGCAGAATAGATGTAATCCTTGGGTTTAGTGATGGCAGAGGTAAAGAACTATTGTGGGGAAGGAATCACCAGACACTACTGTTCTTTCGTTGGGGTTGGTGGTTGCTCTACTTTCTACAGCTAAGCTTCCCTGCATGTTTTTATTTTACAAAATACCAGAAGCCTTGTTTCACCCTCTTCAAAATCTTTCAGCAGAGACAGGACTTAAGTTCTGCATAAGATATTTACAGGTGTACACAAGGCTTGTACACAGGTCATACATACAAATATTATCTAAATAAGTAATATTTTAGGTTCTGTAATGAATTATTTGCTTTCAAAAATTACATTCCTTACAAGAAAACAACACGTAGAATGACAAGACCAAAACAAAGCAAACTCTTACCTTCCAGTTTTCTCACTCTCAAACCTGTGTTTTCTTTCCTCTCTAACCTCACCTAGCAATATCAAATTCTAAGGCAATTCCTTCTTTAACACAGAAAAACATTTTTTAAAAAGCATCACCAAACTGTCTCTTGTTTCAGAAATATTCTAGTAAAAAGTTACCACAGATCTCAATTGCAGGGCCCTCGTTATTTAACAACAGTATTAGGACTCCCTATAGAACCTAAAGTTGTCTGCTCTCTTAAAAAAACCTACCAAACAAACAAACAAACCAAACCAAACCAACATACGGAGAAAGGTAGTCACATGGAAGTCCCCATATTTTTTTGTGTATCTCACTGTGAAAGGCCTAGTCACACTAAA